TTGAACTGATCTGGCAAAAGAAGAACATTGGTATTACAATACAAGTAAAGTATTTATATATATATGAAACAAAACATTTCTACTATTTTATTATTCTAAAGGTTGGACCACCGTATTTTATGTTTGGGTCATCAATCCGGAGAATTCGGCAATAAATGCAGGCCTGTACGGAAAAGACTTGAATGAGTAGGTCCAATTTACCATGATGATTTAGAGTATGGATTTCTTTGACATTTCCTTCACAACACTGCTCCTCCAGAGGTCCACTTGGATCATTCATCAACTTGGGCCTCATTTCTCATTTTCAAACTTCCCCCATCCACGGATCTTTGTAAAATAATTTTGTATAATATTTATTAGAGAAATATGTAATTTTTGTTAAATAATTTTGTATAATATGTATTATGTATTATTTTATTTTATATTCATTTTAAATAAAAGAGAAGGAAGTTAAGTTTTTTAAATAGAGGTTAAGAGGAAGGAGTCAATTTACTCTTACACTTCTCATATTCTTTTACGCTTCGTTATTTAAAGAATTGAGAGAATAATCAGATACTAATGGAGGTCGCTTCGGAAATCTACGTTGTGTTCATCAAAGTAAGAAGAAAGTGAGTAATTTTGCTTTGAGCATGAGACATATATTAGATAGTAAAATTGACTCTCAATTTTTTACTTGTTTTTGTATGTTGTGAGGGAGAGATTCCAATTCTATCAACATAATACTAAATTTATTATTCCAAAAAGTACACTATAGGAATGTGTTGTTTTGCATAATTCTAAAAAGTTTTTTCTAAATAGTAAATTTAGTGTTTCCAAGAGTATTTTTTTAGAAGTATGTAAAACATACAATTCCAAAAAATACTTTTTCAGAATATTAATTTTAGTATTCTAAAAAGTATTTTTTAGAATACTAAAATTAATGTTTTTGGAAAAGAGAAAAAAGATGTACTTATTAATAAAAAAAAAGAGGTATATACATCTTAAGTCAAGTGTTAGTAGCCCAAATTTATTTTTAGTCAGCCCAGGCAAACAAGAATCATTAATATCAAGCCCATCCATTTTTCTTTTCAGAGTGCAACATTAAGGTTCATGATATATACACCTTCTTTTTTTTATAAGAACACTTTCTTTAAAAAAAAAAAATTTAAAATTTTAAAATATTCTTAATTTTTTGTTTTAAATTTTTTAATTTTACATCCACAACATTTAATTTAGTACTTTTTTTCACATATCTTTCTTCTTTTTTTTCAATTTTTACATGCATCCCTTATTTCTCCTTCACCTCACCTATTTTGGTAGCATATAAAAATTGAAAAGAGAAAAAAAAAAGTGTGTGAATAAAAAGAAGAAAGTAACAAATTGAAAGTTAAAAGTGTAAAATTAATTTTTTTTTAAAAAGTTATAATATTTTATAATTTTGATACTTATAAAAAAAACTGTATATATCATGAACCCAACATTAATGCGATACCCTTAACACGCCCACAAGTTTCATTTATCTGGGCCTTATACCGCTCTCTTGTCTGACCCGGGAAGTTAATACCAAAATTGAGTGAAAGATAATTTGAAGTAAATTTGTATTAAAACAAAAAAAAAAATGTACTTAGTTTTACTTATGAAAAATTTCTTATAATCTTAATTAAATTAAATTTAAGAGAATTTATTTATTTTATATTTAAACAAATAAATTTACTAAGCAAAAAAAAAAAACAAATAAATTTACTTCAAATTAGTTTTTTCTTTATTAAAATAATATTTGGTCAGTAAAAGTCATGTTATACAAGCATAGATTAATTTTTAATTATCAATTTTAAGCTATTGTATGAGTCATATCCTTTTTTAAATTTAAGCATGTGAGATTCATGTAAATGTGTGCTTACAACAACGTTTAACTTATTCTACCTATTTTTTTGTAAGGAAAATTATTGTGAATAAATTGAAAAAAAATGTATGTACAAATGTAAAAATTATTTTACTTTTGTTCATTTTTTAAAGATGAATTTGAATTTTAAATTGAATGTGTTTATTGTGTGTAAGAGCTTTCCTCTGAATCCAACCTTTATTACTTACAATATTTTGCATGTTTTTATTGTAATAAAAAACATGTCAATAAAAATTGGAGTTAATTGACTGCTTGATTGATTTTTTTTAAAATAAATTTAAATATACTTTTTAAAATAAATATGTTTTTCATTCTTATAAAATTTAGAACTATTATTTTTAGTTTATATTGTTATATAATTATTTTTCACTACTTATTTGTCTACAATGTGAGACATTTTTAAATTTGTTTATAGATCTTTAAAATAAATGCTATTTATCTACTTTAAAATCATTGTTAGGAATCAAAAATAGTGATTTTATATTATAGATATAGATAAAAATTAAAGAAAAAGATTTTACAGAAAGCAAAATCATAATTTTACTTATATATTTTACAAAGATAAAAAATATTTTACCAGGACCAAAAATAATATTTAATTATAAATTTTAGAATGATGGAAAATAAAAATATTTACATAGGTTAAAATCAAAACTCATTTATTTTGTAGAGACTAAAAATATATTTAAGTTTATTTTTATAATAATTATTTACGTATATTATTATCATGTTAAATTAATTAATTTATATATTCCTATAACTCTAGAGTTTTGAAATAATTCCTTCGTAATTTAACGAGTTTAACGGTACTATAGATGATAATTAATATGATAAGTGACAACTCACGAGGTAATACGTAAAAGTGTTGAAGATTGAACTTGTGGTAATACATAAAAATGTTGAAGATTGAACACCTACTCTATATTTATGCTGAATTATTATTTTAATTCTTTATTTATTTTTATGATTCAATTTAGTCTTATTTAAAAAAAAAAGATTAATTTGATATTTATTTTTTAAAAATATTTAATGTTGTCACCTTGTTCAAATTAACGCTAATTGCGTTAATAAAATTATATGAAAGGTTAACATTGAATTTTTTTAAAAAATTAGAGAAATAAATTAAATATTTTTTAAAAAAAAGTGAGATCAAAGTAAATAAAAATTTATTTCATATTTTTTTATCTAATAAATTTGAAGTTTTTTTACTTATCTTAACAAGATCATAAATGACAATAAATTAAGTATTTGAAAATAAAAATAATAAAAAAATGAAAGAGTTATCTAATACAAAATAAACTATTAAATAAATAATAATAAATTAAATTTATCAAGACGAAAAAATTGATAAATTTTTGCTCAGTTTAATCTCTTTATTTTTTTGAATATTCAATTTGTTTTCATTTTTTAAAATAATTTAATTTGACCCTCTTATTTCAAAATATAGTCGGTGGTTGTCCTTTTGTCAAATTCTATTAACTTTATTAATGTCAATTTAGATGAAAAAATAATAATGAATATTTTTACAATCTCTCAAGAGTTTGAGAGACACCCATTTAACAAATTAATTTTAATTAAAGAGGATCATGCGCAAAACTTTTATTACGAATGCAATGAAAATGATTCTCGTTATCTTTTTGTTGGATCCAGCAGTTACAGGATGTAAGTGACACCATCTTTAATATCAATTATTGATAGAACACTTTTCGTTTAGATTAAAAATTAATTATTTATTTTATGATGCATTTTTTTTAATAAATTTAAGTCCATTTACAAGTATCACAGTTTAATTTGATTACGACCTTACCTAAGTTTTGCTAAGGTAGGATATGTGGCTCGCGATCTCTTTTGACACATGATATATTGAAAATCATTCTCCAACTACATTAACTTCTAGAGCAGCTAGCTATGCGTAACTTGTAAAAAAAATATCAGAAATGGAAATTTCATATAATGAAAGCAAAATACATTGCTCGTTATTCTCAGTTTTACTCTTTATATATCCGATATACAAGAAAAATTAATAGAATAAAACATGAAATCAGCACCTAAAATTATGAAGAAAAAAAAAAGAAAAGAATTTTAGTAGGAAAGCAGAAGGTGAAATATTAATGCTTTAGGGTTTCCCTTGGTGTAATTTATTATGTTAAATTTGTATTGGTATTGAGTATGATAAGGAGTGGTAGAATGCAATAGAATCTTTAATAATGATAATTGATAGGGCAACGATATTTTGGTTGCAGCCTTAACCGGAAAAAGCCAAACAGAGGAAGGCATTGCACCTAAAGTGCTCTCTCGCTTTACTGTAGGAAAGGTCACATAGTACAGTGACTGGACACTGAGTGGAGAAAAGGAAGCAAAGCAAAATGGTTCCCAAAAGATACTGAATCAACCATTAGCATTACCATTATTATTTTCCGACACATCAAGTGAATTTCATCTTTTGCCTCTCTATTTCCCTATTTCACACTCTCACCATTCTTATACAGCTCAGGCCCATGCAACTATTGCTAAGTCAATCTATATGATTCTTCTCTAAATTAGCCAATGGAATTAATTGTATGCTAGTAGATCATATTTTTTGTTTGTTTCTTTTCCCTTTTGGTTGAAACATATATATCTATATGAATTCCAAAATAAATTGAAAATAATAATCAAATTTACTTTAATCCTGATCAATAAAACATTAATTTGATAACAAAGTACTTGGTTTTGAGTTCATTATCTTATATATGCAATAAATCACATAACCATAGCTAGGCACATATAAGTTGATTTAGTAGAGGAGAGATAGTGTGAGAGTACAAAAGTACAAAAAGAAGGGCGTGTCTGCATACAAAATAATGAAATTCCCGAAGGGTTTGTGTTTCTGCATTCCAAAGTGAATTATTGGACAGAGCCCATACTGTTAGGGGTCCCCCTTGCCTCATTTCCTTGGATACACGCGCCTTCTATCTCCCCACTTTCACTTCTCCAGATCTCATCAATAATACTCCTCCCATCCTATAAACTAATTTTGAGCTTTCATAGACCCAGTACTAGTTATGTATATAATTATTAAAAAAAAAAAAAAGTGGATTAATTATAATATGCATATCCATATATGTTGTTGGCTTTAGGGTTTGAGCATCCTTGATGTATATATATTCGGAAAAGTTAGGGATAAATGAGTTAGTATTGTAAGGAGCGGTAGACGATAAAAGGGTTAAAGTAATATGTGAATTGGAGTAGTTTATAAAATAGAATGAGTGTGGGTGTAGAAAACATTATCTTAACGAATTTCATGGGGACGTCTCCGTTTACTTATAAATAGTACGTAGCTAGCGTGTCCTTAGAACGGGGGACAGTGTAAATATCGTATCCAACCATGACCATAGTAGTCATTGCAAATGTGAAATGTTATATATTATAGTATATGCAAAGTTTGCATTGCAGAGAGAGAGAGAGAGAGAGAGAAGATCAATGGAAGGAGGATCTGGCGAGAAGTGGAACAGCGTATACAGAGAGTGCTTGAGAAACCATGCAGCAAGCCTCGGAAGCTACGCCACTGACGGCTGCGGCGAGTTCACGGTGGACGGAGGGGGGCTACAATGCGCGGCGTGCGGGTGCCACCGCAACTTCCACCGGAAGGTGAAGTACCCGGCGGCCCCCGAGAGCCCTCCGGCGATGGAGTATGGCGAAGGGAGCAAGAAGCGGGTCAGGTCAAAGTTCTCGGCGGAGCAGAAGGAGAAGATGCTGGCGTTTGCGGAGAAGCTCGGTTGGAAGCTTCAGAGGAAGGATCTTGATGATGAGATAGAGAGGTTCTGCCGAGGGATTGGAGTTAGCAGGCAAGTCTTCAAAGTTTGGATGCATAACCATAAGAACTCCAACTCTTCTTCTTCTACTGGCAATGTCTCTTCCCTCACTCAGTAACTATTTATTACTTAATATCACTTCCAGTTCCATGTTTCCTCTTTTTCATTTCCATACTAACTCTAACTGCCTACAAACTACTAATCAACTTCTTTCAACATATATATGTCTCTATGCATTTCACTTTTGTTGTATCTATAACCTTAGCCCTAACACCGATTCAATCCAACTTATAACTATCACATACTCGTCTGGACACTAGATCATACCTTAGCTTAAAACAAAGTATATATTGCCTTTAAGTGTCCTTCCTTAGCCATCATGCCAAGGAGTGCACCTCATCTTTGATTCTTATCAATATTACCAAAGTCACTGTAACAATAAAAATTTCATACACGTCCTCACTCTTGTGCAATATTCTTTACTCATTTCAGTGTCAGAATGTTTTCTTTTCCCATTTGACATAAAGTCTTGGCCTCTTGGCCGCCACATCGAAGAACTTGTCATTCTATAAAACATTTAGACCTAACCACATCAAACAACTTGTTATTTCTAAAAGATTCAGATCTCGATCCGACCGGCATGTACCAAAGTTTGATTAGTCCCCATAAATGGCCAACCTTGGACGCATCAAGTTTGCCTCTTTCTCTCTTTCAATACAGGCTTGAAATTACTTAAACATACCCAATAATAAATCTTTTCTCGAAAATGTCTACACCGCACAAGTCTTCTTCTAATGAACACAATAGTGTACTTATTTTTTACATTAGTCAAACAAATTGAAATTACATTGTTAGGATCAGTTGTTAGTTGTGAGGATTCACTTGGTCTTGGACCTAAGTTGGAGTTTGGATTCCACCAAATCAAAACAAAATAACTCAAAACAAAAAGATATTACACAAACAACAACTCATGTCTCACTACTCCTACCTCCTAAACTCTCTCAAACCTAAATCACACGGCATTCCTTAAACTTGATCTTGAATTTTCCTTCGAACCTCGCCCCAATTAATTGGCAATGTGTCGGTTATTAAAGTAAATATTCTAATTCCTTAAGCGGACTCACTAAACACATGTATATGCTTAAGATTTTCAAAGAACATACACATCTTTATTCTTAGAATCTATATCCATGTCTTTAGTTCTTTTTGAATTAACTTTTTTAAAAGTACTAATTAGGAGAGAAAAGTAAAATAATCTTCTTTATATAGTAAAATTAACTTATATAAATTAATTTTTAGAAATTCCTTTATTATAGATTAGTTTGTGTACAAACGAGTTTTAATTTATGAAAAAAATTATTTAATTTTTTCTCTTTTTTTTTTCCTCTCATAAATGTTTATCAAGTCCAATTTTGAACTGGCCTACATTCGTGGCAAATAACCAAGTATAAATCTCGAGTTTCTTCATCAAATTTAATACCCATAGCAAAAAGTTGGTTCATGGTTCCTTATACTCCATTCAAATGATTTGTAAGTGGAGTCCTATGTGATACTTCAAAGCCAACATCTACTTGATCAAATAAAAAACAACTTTGTGTTCCTGATCTTTTGTAACATAAGTACATAGTTCATGATAATACAAGGTCGTTGCACGAGTCTCCCCACTAATACGTGGTTTTAACACGTTAGCAATCATTTGTTAAAATATACCCACAAACATATATGTACAGCAAAGTTCATTCTTCATTTGTTTTATCATTAGGCTTCAAATAAAGCAAATCCTCCATCCTTCCTTTCCACTGGGCATAGTTGGTCCATTCAAGATCACCATTCCAGTTGCATTGGGTACCATGTTCACTACAAGAAATACCACCAAAAAAGTTCAAATATTGATACTAGCTAGTTATTGGTATCAAAGCACACAACGAAATGTAAAAATGATCCAAAAATGTCTTTCTACTTTAAGAATGAAACAAAGTAAAACTCAATACAATTAATAAAACATAACAATGAAATAACTAACTAGACAAAAAAGATGGCGAAACACTAAATAAAATATATCAAAATAAAACTCTCAATAGCAAAAAAATACTAAAATTGCAACTAAAATGGAGTATGTTTACTGCCTCAATTATATGCTCAAAGAGACAAATATTCTCTCCTCCCTTGGTCTGCGTCGCATGTCTTTTTCTTCTTAAAATTTTGTTGCTATTTTTATTCTCACTACCAAAGAACGTATGACTAGCTATGTATAGAATAAATATTATTTTTAGAATCTTGACCACTAAAAATACAAAATTTTGTCTCTTGATCATCTCTTAATTATGTTAATTAATATTAAATAAATATCAATTTGCTTATGTGTCAAAATTTGATTGGTTGAGACTTGTATTTTAATTTCTCCTAACTATACATTTTTATTAATTATTCCAAGCATACTATATTGATGATAACATTTTTATATCCTTTTGAACATTTTTCCATAATTTTCTAGCTTAAGGTTTTAGCAGAACAACTTTTTCTTGTTAAATCCTTAGAGAATTTCTATAAATTTTAATTTAGAGATTTTCTCTCTTAACTGTATTTATTCTTAATCTACACTCAATA